TGCCTTCCTCTCTGGCCAAGGTCCCATCTTGCGTATTTTGTTACAGGCGTCCTCTTTGGCTTGCTGTCAAATTCCAGTTTGATATTTCTTACGCACCAGCTGATTGCATCCTGCAGGCGCTTGCTGTTTGCCAGTTGTTGCAGGCACACACACACACACACACTTGTTTCCAAAATGACAGTGACCTCTTGCTTTAGGCTCAAGGGGGTCTTCTTTTTTGTGTGTGTGCAAGAACTCTGTGACACCTTGTGCATGCAAGCAGAATGGAAGGACATCCATAGAATATCCAGGAAGCCATGGAACTCACAAACACACTCCCATGGAAGACAAGACATGGAGGGATTATGCAGAAGTTGGATGTTATGCTCTGCTGTACAAGCCATTTATGGATTTAAAGCTTAAGAGGATTTTTCATTATGGGTTTCACACAAACACACACACACACACCCATTGTACACAGAAGTGTCTGCACCTTATTTAAACTCTCAGATGTGGCTTAAGAGAGACTTAGGTCATAGAGCAGAAGTGGATTTTTCCTCCTAATAGGGATTAGTGTTGATTTGTGTTAATTAAGTAGGGGAGAGGGGCAGGAGAGAAATAATGCAATCTGGGTTCAAATCACTGCTCAGGCATGTAGACTTGAGCAAGTCACTATCTCCCAGCCTAATTAACCTCAAACAATGATAATGATGACCACCCCAAGCAGCCCTAGGAAGAAAGGGGGGATACAACTTATGTAGAAAGAAAAGTAGGTAGGTAGACAGATCTATCTCACTGTAGATTCTCACACTATGGCCCTCAGTGTTGTTAAATGCAAAGCCCACCTAAAACAACTCATTTGCGCAGGAGGGACTTTGTCTCAGATTTTATCTTGTGAACCCCCCTCAGATCTTTTGATGAATTGCAGTATATTAATATTAACAACAACAATCCATGTGACTTTTTCCATAATTCCCCTGAGTCATTTTTATTTGTTTGAATTCCCATTTATACGGTTTTCCACTTTATACTGTTTTCCTGTTAGATTTTTGTTTTATTGATATTGTCCACTGTTTTCCTGTTGTACACGGCTTAGAGATTTAAAGGATATTTAGCAATTTACTAATGCTTTTAAATAAATAATAATAATACAATATACAAGGACTTGTGCAGTTGTATTTGTGACTGTGTGAAAATGGGAGAGGGAAGAGAGGCTTTGAATCACAGGGGCCTATGCTGTCCCAGATGAACACCTGCGTGACCATCAGCAGGCCTAAGAGGAAATGCCTGCCCTCAGGTCCGCTCAATGCCTTATGATTTTTGTCTCAGTGAGAACACTCTTGGTGCAAGACCAAGCACAACCCGACACACAAGCATGAGCCAAATTTGTCCTCATCCATGGCAAAACTGCTGTAATCTTATGGAAACCCAAACATTGTGAGTGGTGTTCAACTAAGTTTTACTCTGAGTAGACCCCCTGAAATTAATGAACATGACTAAGTTAGGACTGTTAATTTCAATGGGTCTGCTATGTTTGTGTGAGATTTCTACTGCAAGACCAACAGGTGCATGCCCATGCAAGGGGTAGGTTTTACATGTGTACAGTTATAGCTAGATTATAGCTACACAGGGCTCACACATTACAAAAGCAGTTCAAAATGCTATGCTCTTCTAACAGCCTGGTAGGTGGCTCAGTCGGCATGATGCATGTAAGTGAAGAATTCACAACAGCTGGGAATAGATCCCTGTGGTTTTTGCCATGCAATTGTTCTAGTGAATCAGCACCGTCTCGCAAGAACAGAGCCATGGAGCTTGCAAATGAACTGCATCCCAGCTCACCAGAATAGAAACATTGCAAGAGCCTTGTTGGATCAGTCCAAGGGTCCATCTTGACCAGAATCCCAGTTCCTTTGCAGCCAACCCAATATGTCTCTGGAAAGCCTACACACTTTGCTGATGGTACTGGTGTGCCAGACAATGCTAGACTTGGTAGGCCTTTGGTTTGACCCAGCAGGTCTCTTCTTATGTCCTTTTGTTCACACGCAGTATTTCCCTACAGGTGCATATTGCAGGGGAAGATGTATAGCAGAAGACACCTTGTATTTCAGGGGAGATTGTTCATCATTACAGTATGAGAAAAACCTTGTCAGTTTTCAAGAAACTTCACAGTTTCCCAGAACACTATCTGAAAACCCAGTGCTAATAACCCACTCCAAGCCATTACATTCAACGGACATTGCAGTGTGTTGCAAGTTCTAGCATTTGCACAGAGTCTCCCACAATGTAAGGCTGATTGACTGCTGGTTGCCATAAGAAATTATTCCCTTGGAAACATGCATTATCCACTTAGAACAGTACATTTCACCACATCCATGATCCTGATATTCATGATCCCCGCACTGAAACAACAGCTATAAAACCTCCTGCCTTGATTTCATAGTGGAGAGAAGGATTTACCAACTCTGCGTATGTCTTGGGAGAGAAAAATCTGCATCACTAGCACCAAATCATCTGTGGTTTTACTGACCAACTGGGAACTGGGAAGAAGTTTCACAGCCGTATAACCTCTGAAAGGAAGGGTTTCTATGGAGCGACCTTTGGGAAACACGTGTGTGTGTGTGTGTGTGTGTGTGTGTGTGTGTGTGTTAAAAATGCATCAAGTCTCTCCAGTGCTCAGTGTAATCCTTTTCTGAGTTAATTGGCCAAAGAACATGGTATTACTATGTACAGCAAGAAGCTGGCTTTGCTCTTGCTCTGATAGTATGTTATTATATCAAATAAAGAGGGTGCCGAGCCACTAGCTTGTTAGGCAGCCGAGCATTTGTGCTTTTTTAAATGAAGCAAAATGCCCTAGGATACCGGGGGGGGGGGTGCAAGATGAAGAAATGTATTCAAAGGAAATGGATTGAGTTAGCGCATTCTTCCGAGAGCATCTTTGAAATTACCTATGGTATGCAGTGCAGAGTGGAGGCAAAACAGTGAAAAACCTATTCAGGCTACTAGCATGTTGGAGGCCAGGCTCATTATAAAAAGTCCTCGCATTTTCAGAAATACATTCCCCGCAAAAAGTAACCTTGATTTACTTATCCTATGATGCATGCCTTAGAGAATGCCAGAGCGCACCCCTTGTCTTCTGCAATCTCATATTTAAGCTATTGCCTCCTAAAGTCAAAGAGGAGTCCCCCCCACACACTTGTTACATATTCATCAAATTTCTTTTTCCAGGGGCTTAATCTGAGCCATGGCTCAAGCAGAGGGCAGCCCCTGCAACTGCTTTCACTGTGAAGCCTTAAGCCTGGAATAGGCTATGGGCGGAATAAGGTTATGAAGGCCTTAGAACATGTGCTGAATCCAAAGCCTTTCCTCTCTCCCCTGTGTCAAGGCTCAGGGAATACTATCCCTCCCCTGGTGGCAGAAAAAAAATCAGATAACACGAAAAGTCCTTACCACATACAGTAATTTATTCAGTATTCAAAGAGAGAGGGAGACAAAGGGATGCAGTCTCTATGCAATGATGGCATTGCTCCAAGTAAAGTCCTTCCCCCTTCGTCTCCCCTAATCTATGGTACATCAGTCCTGTGTTGGCTAATCTGAGCCTTCTGCCACTGAGCTCTCTGTTCTACTACTCTCGATGCCCGTCTGGTCCTGGGAGAAAGGGGGTCAGGAATGCTTTCCAAGGACACTGAGTCTGTCAGCTGTCTCTCCCCCTGGTGCTGCTGCTTCTTCCTGCTGTTACTCTTCTAATATTTCCCAGCTTCTGCCCTCTGTAGCCTCTGAACTATGTCCTTCTGCAAACCACTGTTCTAGATCTATACTGCCCTCCTGTTCTCAGGAAGGGTCAGGAGAAGGGGGGCGGTCCCCACCATTCCTCCTCAGTCCAGCCCCTGACAGTTTGTCACTAAGCAGAAGAAACAGGAGATCCAATCCAGGTAGCAGGAAGGGCCTTAAGAGTCTAGAGCCGGCCTTTGTTGCTAGAGGGTAAGGGTTGCATGTGCCTCAAGGGGCAGGTTAGAGAGGTGGCCAAACAACCTCCTATGTGGGAGAGAGAGAAGAGAGCCAAGCAGTGGTTGAACTTGTATGATACACTTGTTTGCAATACTCCTGTATTACATTTTTAGGGGTGTTCAGCCACTGGGTTTCCCTGGATTGGATTTGGCCATTCCTTTTCTCACAGCCTAGCCTACCTTGCAAGGCAGCTGTGAGGCTTCTTACCAAACATTGCATGCCAGTTTGAACTTAAGTACATATGTGATTAATTAATAAATACAATGGCTAATCAATGCATTGGCTCATTAATCCAGGTCTGTGTTTCAGAAGGGATTCATGAAGTACAACAGGTCAAAGAGACCCAAGGGGAAATGCATGAAAAATAAGTGACGGTTAACACTCATGCCAGACCTTTCAGCCTTTCCCGCCTCCAAGTCCCTCTTTCTTTGCAACATTCACTATAAATTATGCTTTTATGGGACAGCCAGTCCCCGTGATGTGGAAGCGAGGCTTGATACCTGCGCTTCTGTCTGACATTCTCCCTGCTTGCAAACACAGCGCTGTGATGCTGCCCTCTTCCCTGGGAGTACAGCTTGTGTGGAGCACTGGTGACATGTTGTGGCTAGGCTAGCTAATCGCAGGTACATAAAGGTTTTCCCTTCTACCACCAGCTCTTGATCTGCCCTAAACCTTCCCTGAATTGCAAGCGCCACCCATTTAGTTGTGCCACTCAGGGTGCTCAGTGAATTCAGCAGGGACCTCGAGCTTCCACAGCATGCAGACGGGGCTTTGCCAGTTACTAAAAGGCACATTGCCCAGAAGGTGCCAAATGGCTAGACAGAAAGTCGAGCTGAAACGGGCAGCAGTCAACCACAGAAGTAGTCAATTTCCCATATTTGGAAGGTGCAAGTCTAAATTCCTGTGATTTCCATGTGAACCTTACTTGGGGGAAAATGCAAAGAATGCATACGTGCTTCATCCAAACCTTAGTTACATGAGAGTCAGATCTGCATTATTTCTTTGCAGTCAGTTCAGCCTGGATAGCTCAGTTGGTTAGAGTGTGGTGCTGATAACGACAAGGTCGCAGGTTTGATCCCCATATGAGAAAGCTGCATATTCCTGCATTGCAGCAACAGGTTGGACTAAGTGTTCCTCAGGGTCCCTTCCAGCTCTGTGATTCTATGTTTTTTTTACCCAAATTGATCTTCATTGAGAGAAGTCCCACATACATCAGCTAAAGGGCAACAACAAATATCAGTTGTACAGCAAACCATTTCAAGCTTCCACAACATACAGAAGTAGGTGGGGTATATGGGATTGGCAGTGCTTTGAAGACACGCCCAAAAAGAGAGTTTTAAAAATGGCAACAAAGTGCAAAATTGTGGGGGTAGCCAGTGTAACAACAGCAGGTTCCCTGCTTTCGCCCTTTCTCCCACACCACATAGAGAGGGGGGCAGAGAAAAGGTTTGACTAGCCTTGGGAACTCTCTGCACATTGAGCTGTAGGAGCAGGGGACGCAATATTTGTTGTTCTGCTTCAGGCAGCAATCTTAGGGCAATCTTAGGGCAATCCCATCCCTGTGCACTATAAAGTTCATGTTGTGAACGTTATGTTAGTAGGCCAACAATTTGTCCTCAGCTGAGCTAAACTAGCCTTTCTGCCTAATTGCATCCATTCCCATGCCCTCTAGTAGTCAGATATAAAAAGATAGAATTGTGAGTCTCTCCCCTCACAGCTCTCCGTGCTTTGCAGATAGGGACCGCTCTCCTCACATACAGGAGAGCTGCCATGAACCAGGCTGAAAGAAGGGCTGACAAGTGGACTTTCTAAGGAAAGTCTCCAAAAGGAATAGTCTTGGGGTGGTGGAGAGACAGGTAAACTAAGGGAGGGCAGATTTAAGACAAAGTCTTGAGTTTGTATCCAAAATGGAGCTCAGCTTCCCATAAGCATGGGTACGGAAGTAAATGTAGCCTAGAAGTTCTTGTTTTATTTTATTCACTGTGAATTTGGCCCATCCCCCTCCTTATTCTCTCTCTTTTTTTGCTTCTCTCATAGCAAAACCTCCTGTGTAGGGAAAACTTGAACGTCACTGAGAAGAGCTGTAGCTGAACCTTCTCCCTGTTATTTTATATGAAAGAAACTTTTTGTTTGTTTTGGCTATGCAGGAGAGCATTCGAATTTGAAACCCGCAACCTGCTATTCCAGAGTGGTACAATTGCTGGAGGGCTGTACTTTGTGGTTTTTCTGAACATGTAGAATTGGCTTTTCGATGCCCTGTTCTACATACAAAAGCATGACAAATATTTGGCTCAGATTCCTGAGGTAAGAACCAATGGGAATTTTTCAACCCGGGGGGGGGGGTAGCGGGGAGAGAAAGAGAAACTAGATGTTGAATATATACAGCTTCTGTCATTGTTTTGCATGACAATGGAGGGATTTCACAGAAATTAAGTTAGCGCCATCTAATTTGCTAAATATTTTCTATACTTATGCTTTTGGTATAAAGTGTATCTAACCATGTCAAGATTTTCTTCAATAATTCCCCTTGAGGACTGGAGCTTGTTTTTTTGTTTTGAGGTTGGGCTGGAGCTGGGTCCCGTCCCCCCCACTCCATGTAGCTGTGACGGCTCCTCATGGCTTTAAGAGTTAGATTCTCCTGAACACTTAAGGCATGCCTTGAAGGAGTCTGGTGAACTGATTCTGTCAAGAAGGGTTTGTATATTCTTCAGGGCTCGTTAAAGAAAAGGGGGGAAATCTAAATTTATTTTGACATTTGTATTCCGAATGCTATCTGTCAAATACACCAAGAATGGGAATCACAAATTTCCTAAGCGCCGCCATGGCTATCTAACATATCAATAGCAATATGTAACTCATACATATGATTTAGGCTGAAAGTCAAATGTATAAAGACACAAGGAGAGCGAGAGCAAACATTTGAGAGTGAGGCTAAACAGAAGTGTTGGAGATAACATTGCTTTAAAAATGGCATTATTATTATTATTATTATTATTATTATTATTATTATTATTAAGCTTTTCACAAACAGCATTGTCTCAAAGCGACTTACAGCATAAAATACATTACAGCATAAAAATGATCATAGTTCTGCCCTGACAACACCATGGGAGGCAGGGATGCCCCCAGAAGAGGTGCAGAGTTGGGGCAATTCTGACTGTGTGCCTTCCTTTGCCTTCCCTGGCACCTCCAGCCCCTCTTCCTCTGCACACCCCTGGCCCATTTCTTGTTGGTTTTGCCATTTGCCACCACTTTAGCAATGACAGTCTCTCTTTCCTTCCTCTCTCCCTTACATTTAACCCCCCCCCCATTTGCATGGCATCAACAAGGCCAGATCAGTGAGGTATAGTGAGTACGCAGACCCCAAAAGCTAATCAGTTTGTCCATATAATATGTCACATAGAGATGCAGAGAGCAGCACCTAGAAAAACAATTCTCAAATAAGCAGGCCAACATGTGTTACTGGAGCCTTTTACAAGAAAGATTGGACTAAACATAAACACACAGCATGAATGACTATACTAGAGAGCAGCCTTTCTCAGCCTAGGGTCCCCAGATGTTGTTGGACTACAACTCCCATCATCCCTAGTTAACAGGACCAGTCCAATGATGGGAGTTGTAGTCCAGCAATGTCTGGGGACCCAAGACTGAGAAAGGCTGGTGGACTACAACTTACATCAGCTTCCTCCAGTATTGTCTACTCCAGCATGGCTGTGCCGACTGGGACTGATGGGAATTGTAGTCCAAAACACCTGGGGGGCACCAGGTTGATGAAAGCTGCTATAGAGTAGCAATGAGTGTAAACCTTGAATATATGAAACATCAGAGTTACACAAATGATCACAGTATACGGTGATCCAAAGGTATGAAGTGAAGATTTGGGGGAGTGAACCTTCTGAATATGTTGTGCACAGGTGCTATCCTGCAGTCCTGCTATTCCCAGGCACACATATCTTTGAATGGGTCCCACTGAACTCAGTGGGGCTCAGTAGACAGAAGTCTACTCACACTGCTAGCAAGCAAATAAGTTAATAAAATTGAAAGCCAAGGGGTGCTTTCCATAAATGGAAACAGCAGAGATGTGCTGTCTTACAGAAATAATGCAGCTGTGCTCTTGTTCACCTGCCAGAGGGTGTCCTTAATTCTCTTTCTTCAACCTGGCCCTGGCCGTGTCCCTGGCTGCAAGCAGGACTTCTCATTTGCATTTTGAGTTGTTCCTTTCAATTTCTGCCACTCCACCAGCACTAAATCAGACCCATTTCAAGGTGATCTGACAGATAAGCATACAGACAGCACGATATTTCCTATTCCTAATGCTTCATTTTCATAATATGCAGCAAGCCCTGTATTATTAGATTAAATTAAAATGTATTGCCTTGGATGCATTTTGGAATGTAAATGGGTTTGCATCGCCAAGGCTAAGGCAAGGTCCCACCCAGCCCAGCCAGAAATGTATTAGATTAGCCACATTGATTTGTACACAGAGAATGCACAAACTGATGACACATTATACTACAGTGTTAGAACTAAAATGCCAATAAAATGTAATGTAATGCAGAGAAATACAATTTGTTCTCAGCTGCAATCACAACTGGACTCAGGGGAGCATTGGCTTATCTCATTTACTCATGCATGGGGTGCTGATGGGGTTTTGTTCCAGCTGATTTTAACATTTGCATAGGGACTGTTATTAGGGTGGCCAAATCCAAAGGTGGACAGAACTCCTGCACCTTTAATAGTTGTTCCAGCAGCCACTCAACCTCAACCTTAAAAAACCCCAAGGCCAGAGAGTCCACCACAGCTCTTACTGTCAGAAAGTTCTTCCTGAAGTTTAGTCAGAATCTCCTTTCTTGTAACTTGAAACCATTATTTTGAATCCTAGCCTCTGGAGCAAGAAAAAACAATCATACTGCACTCTCCATGTGACAGCCTTGAGATATTTGAATATGGTTATCGTATCTCCTCTCAATCTCCTAATTTTCTCCTAAGGCTTGGTTTCCAGGCCCTTGATCATCTTGGTTGCCCTCCTCTGCACATGTTCTAGTCATTAAGGTCAATATCCTTCTTAAATTGTAGTGCCCAGAACTGGGCACATAGAGCAGAACTATGACTTCCCTAGGGACGCGGGTGGCGCTGGGGTTAAACCACAGAGCCTAGGACTTGCCGATCAGAAGGTCGGCGGTTCGAATCCCTGCGACGGGGTGAGCTCCCATTGCCCGGTCCCTGTTCCTGTGTACCTATTGAAATTCATTCTGATAGTTTGGGTCTAGTTCTCCAATCTGTTAAGGTCATCTTGATTCCCAATTCTGTCTTCTGTGGCATTAGCTACCCCTCCCAGTTTGGTACCATCTGCAAATTTGACGACTATCCCTTAATACCTTTACCCAAGTCACTTAAAAAGATGGCAGCTTTCTATGTTGCAAGCTGAACTGCACCCCATAATCCAGAGAGTTCTTCTGATATAGTATCAACAGTCCAGCTTGGCTGCCTCTCACAGAGCAAACAGGTACGTCCTCTTTGTTGTGCTTTTGAGTTTTAATTAATATATAAAATCGAGCTCCTCTTCAGGAAGTTGCATAAGGCTGAAGAGAGGTAAACTTTAATTAGTTTGCCTGTGCAGCTCCATATGTCAACTGTTAGCTCAATTAGGTTTTGCAAGGAAGCACAAGATGCGCTTCCCCACATCTGCAATTTCCTTTCATTTGGGATGCACTGCGGCTAATCAACACCCTAATCAACTCATGCCATTTCCTTCTTAGTATAGCATAGACAACATGCATGCATAATGTGCACACTCAACGCTCCCTTCATATGGTGCAAACAGACCAGTTCAAACTCATTTTTGCCCAGTATAAGTCAAGGTAGGCAAACTAAGACCCAGGGGCCGGATACAGCCCAATCGCCTGAGGTCTGAGGGACAGTGGCCCGGCCCCCTGCTGAAAAGTTTGCTGACCCCTGGTCAAGGGCATAGGAATAGCACTAGTTAATGTAACTCACAGACAATGGTTTTCTGAACAGGATGAACATGTAGCTAACAGGACCAGTGGTCAGGGATGATGGGAATTGTAGTCCCAAACATCTGGAGGGCTGGAG